TTTAACTTTCCTCTCTTTAAATCCAAGATCAAAATTACTAGAAGACGACCAAATTCATCTTAACATTTGATAATGGCACATAAAATGCAAAAATATTTTTTAGGCTTTGGATAATATAATTGGTAACGATATATATATATTTGTATCTGCGAGCAAAATTTTTATGTTACAAATTATTATGCTTTAATGATTTATTATATCTAAAATTTGCTTTATGTTAAATTTCGCCGATGTTATAATAATTTGCTCGTAAAATAGGAGAGAAGAAAATGTGATAAGAGTTGTATAGAAACAATTTAAAATTCGTTATCGCGTCAGATACAACATTATTTTCGCTTTCGCTTCACGTTTACAAATGCATAATAGCGGGGAAATCGATTGAAATAGAATGAAATGAAAATAGTGCTATCATAGAAACAAAAAGGAAAGTCACAGTAAGAAGAAAATTGTCACCTTTTTAGACAAACATTTGAAAATTTAAATTTACTATGTTGTGAAGTGAACAAATTTTTTGAAACCAGTTCAAAGTTTAGATTAAAAATTAATTGAGCAGAAGAAGTTAATGATTAATTTTTTCATTTGGAAATTTGAACTTAAATCTATTTTGTTTTTTTGTAATACATCGATATGTGATGAAATTAGAAGGCTTCTTATTTTAATAAAGGAATTAATGAGAAACATGAAAAATTATTGTAATTAATGATTCCATTCTTTTTGTTCATTATTTCCTATGTCGAAAATGTTGAAAGATAATGCGAATTTTATTTACTCATAATCTTCAATTGTTTCTTCATGAGCAAAATTTGAATACTAAGAGAAAACTTAGAAATAGACAGTTTCAAATTGGAATTTTAATTTGATCGTAAAATTTATGTATATTTAAATTTTATATTTGAAATCTAAACATTTCCATTCACACGCAGATAGAATCAAATTGCCGAATTAATTCACCAAATGGAACTAAAATGATAAACCCATCTAAGATACATCCATGTATTCATTCAATATCGTATCGCGAAGTCAGGTAACGATCATTTTTCTCTCAATCTCCCAATCATGAACCTAGGTTATACTTCTGTGTTAGTGTTAGTGATAGCAATCATTAATTTATGAAGAGAGCAATGATTAATTCACAAATATAGATATATGGGTCAACGAAACCAATGCTCTGCTTTTAAGCCAGGCAGAAAAAAAATTTACCACAGAACGACGACACAATATTGACCCATTTTTGCATTTGATCATTTGTTAAAAAAATTTATGTTGATGACAACAGTGTCAATTGACAGAAACGTTATTTCACATTTGGCAAATGCTTCAACGAATTCATTACTTGTTATGTGACCCTAAGAAATTTTATATCTTAAAATCGAAGATATAAAATTGACTGCGATTTTCTAGAATACTCAAATAATTTCCAAATTAGAGACATTAAGGAAAACTCTAATATATAAGAGGGAATGAATTTGTTCAGAAGAAAAGCAAATTTCAATTAGTAAAAGTTTCCACACGCACAACAATGCTATCTGTCAATCAATCTCAAAGATTTCGCTTTTTTTTATACTGCTAAAATCACTTCTCCAAAGTCATTTTCCTTCCTGATTAACAAATTTACTGGAAACGGCTCAAACTAATGCAACTGATTGAAAGCAACTAATTCAGAAATAATACTTGGAAGAAAAAAAGGAGTTAAATTCAACTACAAAATAATTTTATGCGTATAAAGAGCCTAAATTAGCCACCCAAAATTATTTTGGAAATGCATAAATAGGAATTCTATGAGGTTAAAATATCAATTGAATTGAAAACTCATTCAATTGACAAATTCTCAGTGAGGAAATTTAAGAAAAATCCGCACCGATAGATATCAACTCGAGAACTGATTATTATTATTAGTTATCAAATTTCAGGAAAAATTCAATCTGAGAAACAATTTCACTAAAAATTGAATTTTGAAGCACAAAATTTGCCTTTACAAATCAACAAAGTAATATACTCACATCGGTCTGTCATAATTCGGATCAATTTCAAAGAATTAACCAAAAATAATCCAAATTCTGCTCCGAAGAGCAGCATTACAAGCAAAAATTAGATGAAGACAAAATAGTTATACAAATTGAACAAATTCGATTTACATGAAAAATGAAAACTTTAACATAGACTAAACTTAACATACCCAACGATATGTTACGCAGAAACCGAAAAAAAAATTCAGTGATTTTTTAGAGTGCGGATCAAGGAATCACTTTCAACAAGATGCACTACAGAAGTACTACAGAAAGCTTTCACGATACCAGATTTATTTTTCTGTTATCGACACAAATTTTCTGTTGAAAAAGAAAGGTTGCTGCCCCCCAAATTACGACTTTTTTATTATGCAGCAGCAAAAAAATAAAATGACTTTTGAAATTTTGAAGAATTTTAAGAAAAAGCAATAAGATGTTAGAATAGACATTGTTTATAGTAATAAGAAGCATGAAGAATCCAAATCACTAGTTATATTCTTGATTTTCAAATATAAGCAAACTTTCGCATAAAAATTAAACAACTATTTACATTAATCCAAGATCGATAAGAACCACTCCTTCTCTGCAGTGATAATGAAATTCATGAGTGCAGATTTGATTTAAATACTTCACTATGGTATATGACTGTGATATGTTTCTATGGACAATGGAGAGCTTTTCTGCAATGAAACCAAGAATAGAGCACAAAACAGCAGAACTAAAATTGGTAAAAAGTGAAGGTAGTACAAGCCAAATAAGCCTTTTCTACACTTAAATAAACTAGAGAAAATCATTCAGCTCAGAATAACCAGTTCAAAAAAATCAATAAAATAAAAAGAAATAAAACGGTCAGTTATTTTACAAACTAAAAACTTGGCACAGTGAAAAAGAGCAAAAAAATGACAACAAATATACAACATGCAAAGAATAAGTATTTAATCGAAAAGTTTCGTTATTCGGCTTTTTGCCTCCTTTAGGCGGCTGGTGTTCATGCTGACAGCACTTTTCGAGTCAGTTAATGCAGCAAAAGCACCAAGTACATGCACTTGTTTTCCATTTGTTCGTACAAAGCTAGATAATCGTGGCCCAAAATCATAAATACTTTCAGTAGATGACTGAGAAACGTCCTGGAAAAGAAGGCAATGGAAACAACCGCAGATTTAATTCAATTCATTGTTTTCAAGTAGTAATAAATGAAAAATATTGTCATCTTTCACGTAAATATAAGCTATTCACTCTTTTTATGTTATTTGCACCATCTTCAGTTAACAGTAGTAATACACTGATTGAAACAACGCAGTACTATAGAAACTGAAAGTCCACGTATTATACCTAACGTTTTTCACAGTCAATTTTTATGTTCATGATATCACTTATTTTTTCATTTGATGTTTTACTCAAAACATGTCTGATATGAAAAAATTTAACGCATTTTTGTATAAAGTACGTCAAATTTAACATAATTTATATCAATATGTGGATTAGGGTTAATGGCTTAATAAATGATACTATGAGCCTCCTTTGGGAAACCGCTGGTATTCTGCGTGTGATCACTCGATCACAGAAATCCCAGAATACTGCGATATATTCGTATAGACGTCTCTCAGACGAGCTAATTGAAAGACACAACCGAAGACCAGAAGTAAAGAAAACTTAACTAAAATGATAGGGAAAATCTTATCTGCAAGTTGACCATGTTAAAGATTAAAAAACATTCTAACGAGGTAACCCTGTCAATTCTTTTAATTCGAGTAGTGTGGAAACAATGCCATGTTTGTTGAGCAAAATATAGAGTTTTCACTAAAAAAGTACAACCCTCAATGCTATTATTCTCTTTTAAGTTCCACATCTCACTTCTCTCTATCTTCGGAAAAAATGAATCCCCTATCCATTGCATTGAGGATTCTCCCAATGGTTACCTCCCTGACTGCCTCCTGTGCACTACAATATAATAGAAGTTGTGAGATATCATCTCGAATTATATCATTTTTATTTTAAGGCGGGTAGAAGTAGCAATAGTCGTTCAGTCATTAATGAAAACTATCACTCACAGAAGTTGATCGTTTATATCGATAAGCGTATACAGATATAAGCGGATACGGCAAGAACCCAATCATTTTTGGAAATACCGTAAACGAAATTTGTCCCAGACCGCTCTCTTTTACATGTAATACTGCAAGATGAATTAAAGATGGAAGAAAATAGCGGAAAGACAAAGGATTATTTGCGGAATTTCTAGTTCTTTTCAAATCGCAAAATCAACAATTTTGAAATCTTAGTTATGGATACACAAAAGTTATAAAAAGCACTTTATCACGAGCCCGACATAAGAGAAGACGAAGTTTGGAAAACAAAATCTAAAAAGTAAAAAAAAAAAAACGAATACAGGAAGTAAGCATAAAAAGAAAGTAAGAAGTAAACATTTCTTCTATCTTGCGAAAATTCTGTTAAGTAAGTACAGAATTCAGCTATAAGTATTAAACTTAAATCATAATACTAAATTAAAAAAACTAGAATGAAAAGGACGCACTTACATTTATGCCTCTCACTGATAGTCCAGAAGTATGGATCAGCATCAACACTGACAACTACTGTTTCAACTCGGTTTATTAAACTTCGCAATGAAACTATCATATCACATGCATTTCCAACACGACAAAGAACTGCACTGGGTTGTGATGAAAGCAATTGTGCACAAAGTTCATAATTTGGCTAAACGAATGGTTTATAGAACTTTTAAAATTCTAAATTCTAAATCAAATAACATTAATTTCAAAAAGTATTCGCAGCACTCCATTTACAAAACGAAATACTCCATGCATTACCAGCTTTTCGGAAAAAAAACAGATATGATTATATGAAGTTTATATTTCTCATTCTTTTTTCTTGAACCATTACCATATTTTCTTAAAAAGTTTAAACAATACCTAATTGCAAGATTTCAAATTTTAAAGGCTGTTTGATATGTTAAGGAAAATTAGGAGCATTTTAAGCTGATAAAGGCAACTAACCGTTTTGCATTGTACAGAGAATTCATCAAATAATGTATATTCGCGGTTATAAATTAATTCTTCCTCATTAGTATACCCGTTTAATGATTTCACTCGATACGTAAGCCGTAATTCATAATGCTCAATCTCATTCGTTTTTCCTTTACTTGACGGTAGAATCCAAACTAAACGATATTTACATCCTGGTTGTATGTACTGCAAAAGAAATAGTACATTACCTTTTACCTTAGAATATGCCAAATTTGGCTTAATAGGTCAAGCCTCAGCATATCAGTGTCAAAATTCAAACAATATCAAACTCTAAATTTTTTAATGCAAAGAATTAAAAAATTCATGTTTTTCACCATACATGCCCATTATTTGAGACTTATATCTTCCCCATATAAAATAATATGATAATAATAATTCTAATTTGTTTGTTGATTTAATTAAAGCTGAAACTCTAAATGTGGAAATTCGAACATAAATTAAAATAGTTTGAATAAGTCAATAAGGTATGTGAAGCAATTACTGAAGTCTTGAAATATGCACAAAAAAATTTCGACCTACCGTTAATTTGGGATTCAACAATTTCGCCGGTATCTCAGGTGATTTGTCACTTATCCTGCTTAATATAGCTTCTTGAGGCATAATCAACCATTCATCAATGTTCCGCAATATTGCTAATTCGAAAAGAACTCTGGAAAGCTCAGCAACATGCTAATGAAAGTAATTTAATGTAAAAGCGATATTTGCATATCCGAATAAAATTCAAAACTATACTTCAAAATTCTCGATAAAAGAGAGACTAACTTTTCTTCCAATAGAGAAGTATCATTATCAATATTCATAAATGATGCAAAATTAACCGTAAAACTCCATTCTTTATCCAACCATTTTACCAAAATCTGAATTTGAACTTTACAAACTTTTCCGTGAAAGAGTTCCATACAAAAATATCATTCCCACGATAAATTCAGTTTATTTCGATGAAGGTATTACTGATATCCACATAAAAAATATGATAGCTTGATCGAAGAAGAATATTTTCAAGTAGGAATTTCTTTCAGGTTACTATAACCATGAAAAAATACCTGTGCAGCACATGTCACTAATCGACTTTTTACATTTTCTTCACTGCTTGAAAGATTCCGAAGAATTTTACACAAATGAACAGTGATAGTTCTATTATTTTCAGGAGGTACACGATTCAACGAATAATTACAGATTTCAGACCATTTCGATCTGGATATATCCTGGGAAATGAAAAGGCAAATTGGCATAAGTGAAAAAGCGATTTAATGATATGTATTCTGCACTTTAGATAAGTGAACTCCTTATTTTTTTCAAAGTAATTGACATTGTAAATAAGAAAGCAAATTTGAAGCATGAAAATACAGAAACGATACTAATTAAGCGCAACATTTTCTTATGTCACTAAAATACGGTATCCCTATATGTCTTAAAAAACGGTTAATCCAGAGTTAACCATGGTAATAGCTGAAATTATTCCGTGATGTGAATTCAATAAAAAAATTTCCGAATAAGCAAACTTTGAAATTTAAAATGTTATTATTTTGCAAAATAACCATACCCAAAATTCCAAATCGCTCCCAACAGGACAAGTCAGCTGCAGCACTGAATTTTCATCACTTAGCGACCTTCCAGTGCCATAAAAAATCTCGAATTCGACATGTTGTGCCACACCGGCTATTAGTGTATGATCTATAATAACATAAAATTTGATAACACTACTTCTCATAAGTGAACCGATATTCCCTGCCCAGTTTCAAAATGAAGGAGCAACAATCCATTCTACATGCACATTTTAAGTAGTGCTTAAAAAGACATTATAATCAGTTAATTTTTGATATCTCAATAAAAACCGAAAACTTTAATGCCAATTGAAAAAAGAAGTTCAATAGACAATAAAACCGTAACAGCAAACTACAAAATTTACTTGGTGGTGGCTTCAATTTTACAGAAACCGGTTTATGATGGACGAAACACGTTGGCAGTCGATCTAAATCCTCTTCGATTTCTGGCACATCTAGCCAGTCACAACGCACGAGCAATGAACGACCAATCTCCAGTTCGAAGTAATCAAAGATATATGTTCCAGTCTCTTCCGATGTCTCGAAAAATCATTAAGATAAATACGTTGTAATTAAATAAAATTTCAAGAAATTTTCATCTCTGAATAAATTATAAACCACTCTTCTTCGATTCTGAGCAGTTAAATGTTAAAACTAAATTTATCTTTTATCATTAGAAGGATATCAAGTCATTTTTCTTGGACTTCCACCCATGGAATATGGAAAAAAGTATTTAAACAACAAATAACTTCCAAAAAATTTAAGACCAGAATTTGTCATTAACCCCATATAGCTTACTCATATTTCAAAGAAAAATTCAAAATATACCTTGGCAGTCAAGGTCAGGATATTTTCACCTGGCTTGAGTTTATCTGTGGTAGAACTTTGGAAAATCAAGCAGTTCTCCGATTCATCGGTTGAGTTGTTACTAAATCCTAGAAGAGATCCTTTTCGCATCTCAGCATTACCTTTCCAAATACATGCAAAGCGACTAGTACCATCTGCTTCCTGGAATTCATGAAACTCTACAATCTATTCTAAACTCCTAAATCATGAAATCAAAGACCATGCTTTAGGGGTCATTCAGAAAAATTATGAAAATTTTTCAAGACAAACTTTTAAGGTGGACAACTGACAAAGGAAAACATCAAAAACCATGGTACAACAAAAAGCTAGAAGTTTTTAGTTACTAAAGCAACCAGTATTGAATGTTGGCGATTAAAAACAAACAGTTCAAATTACCGAAAACTCTGATCATAATTAAATAATTTGTCGACCAGTAAACTGAAATTAATGTATTTCTAAGTGCCATCGTATCGATGGACCTTCTACGGAACAGTAAAATCAAATAGGAAACATTTATAACATTAATTTAGCAAACAGCGTACGTTGTGCATACATTCGAAGTGCGGTCGTTGTCCAGCAGTTCGCTTTTGTGATTCATTTTGAACAAAAAGTTTCATACAGCAATGCAATTTAAAGTTTTTTAACGATTTAGGAAGATAGCTGATAATTTTAGCATCAATCTTCACTGTTTCATTCGGTGTTGCCACTAGAAAAGGGAACGAAGAATTGCAACCGAATGAGAAGGTCTTATATTGTTTACAATTTAAGTCCAACCTGTAAATAGGTTTATTTCAAAAGACGACTTTAATATATGTTTTGGCAAATGAAGTATAAATTTTCCACCAGTTACCTCTCTGATTAAAACAGTGGTTAGCAATTGATCGGGACCATACAAGTTCTTAAATTTCGACATTAAAACACAACTTCACCAGTACAAAGAGATTTAATTATTTCAATAAAATGTGATAACTTTTCCCCCAGTTGAAAATGTTTAAATCCATTCCTCTCTTTTCGAAAAGAATTTTAAAACCTGGAATTCCCTCAAAGTCACTGTCTTAATTGGGTTTGAGCAAAAATGGAACCTTATCTTCGTTATATTCGGGTTCTCACTCCACTCCAATAATTTATCACAATATTTGATCCGTTCTTTTTCCGTCTTCGCCAATTTCATCAATATCAAATAAAAATCTACAAGCCTAAAACTCCACCCTTTCAATTACTAAGTATGCGAATAAAAATTTGTAAACCATTTGGTATGGTCAAAAAATTAAGAAAAATGTTCCAAAGCAAACTTACTCCTTAAAATGAATTCCTGGGAATTTTTCCAAATGGTTTACAGTGAACAGCAGTGTATCTCTAAGCAACAGTGCTGTTGAACCGTCTGCAATCAAATCGGAAATAAAATTCAACAAATACGGAAGAGCTCCCTCTGCACGATCCGATGATCTGAAAGATTGGGATGCAAGTAGAGCAAAATTAGGTAGTTGTAAACAAACAGCCACAAACAATCTGTTCGTTTTATGAACATTTTACCAATGCAGTTTCATAAAGAAAATCCCACAATAGTTTTGATAGTAGATTATAGAATAACTTATTAAAACGAGTTGTATTAATCACACTATGTTTTAAAGCTATAGATCAGAATAAATTGGGTTTTAAAGTTATAGATCAGAAAAATAAATTAGTCTAGAACTCGAATAATTCTTTCATTAATTTCTCAAATACATGCTGCAATCTATAAATAATTCTTCATTAATTTCTTAAATACATGCTGTAATCTATAATTGGATAATGAATATGAACCAGAAAATATCCTACAGCAAAAATTTTGCCAATTCCCAACCAACAGCACGTGCTTCACGCCTCCACCCAAAGTGTTTTAGGAGGGCTATGGAACTTTCATGATATTTCTGCATGTAATGCGTAAACTGCTGCTTATCGGAGAGAAGCTGTCTGAAACAAATAAGAGTGCTGGTTAGATTATTGTGATATTCCTGCAAATTTAGCTGAAGTAAGGATGAACATTCTGCAATTACTCCTTAAAAGGTTTGAAATCTATTCAGAGGCCATATAAGAATGAAAAATATACAACTTCGTTTAATTAATCCCAAATGAAACACATGAATGACCAAATCTTTGTTATTTCAAAATTAACTAAACTCTGACTTCTTTCAACGTAGAGGTAAAATTTGTAGACAACTACTAAACTTTAACTTCTGGACAGATTAAATCCTTACCTTATTTCACTGATAGCATTCGTTTTAACTGCTTCCGCACCACACCGTATAATTCCATCTTCAAACCATTTCGCTATCTTTTTCCAATCAACCGAATTCCATCTTTCATTCAATCTTGACATCTGAGATAAATCTAGCATACAAAAATTATTTTATGACTCGAAAAGACTCTTCCTGAAAATTTTATGTCAACCTATCTTTAAGAATTTGCATGAATTTCATAAAGATGATAAAAAATAAGGCCTAATGAGGTGAACTTACAGCTTGGCAGTTAGCCAATTTGAGGGAACAAGTTAAATGAGCTGCTCGTTTAATGTGTGTTATTTCAGTCAACATTGATGCCAGCTGCATTGTTTCCAAGCAAAATGAAACTATCCAACATTGCATCTCGTCGCAGTCTAGTGGTATCTGGAAAAATAAACTGACTAAAATCAAAAAACGTAAGTTAAAAATTTGCTTTGTGTAGATATAAAACATTGAACAGACAAGCGATGCATGTGTGTAAGCTAAGATAGAATAAACCACTATGTATGCTCATTAAGTTAATACAAGATGAAAAACAAATTAAGTAATAAAAACCAAAACAATACTGATTCAGTGGATTAATTACACATAAGCAGTAACTAATTCAAACAACAGAGACCAGAATAATCTGCTTCTTTTTTAAATAAGAAGGTGATCTACATACAATCAACTAAAGCCAACCGATCCTTGCTTATACTCATCTCCCTTCTTTTTTATTAATAAATTTCAATTTAGATGATATGAAATACCTTAAAAACTACCATACTTTCGAATATTGCATTTAAGCAATGCAGCGAGTAACGCAACAATGTAACAGCAAATTCAGTTTTCAAATTCTGTGAACTATTATCACCAGTTGTAGAAACCCGTTGCAAGCGTCCCACGTATATTTGTATTGTGTTCTGGAAAAAATTTTTTTTTTTGAAATTCGCAAAATTCAAAAATGATGAAATTTGTTAGAGTGAAGCGAATATTTTCGACCAAATTTGATGCAGTCAACGAAATTCAAATGAAAAACACTGCGCTATTATTACAAGCTGTAGTAAATAATGGCTGATATTTCTCTTAATAATCTTCGAATACTGTATATGAACGTCATTATTGTACTTCCATTTCTAGAAGTTACATATAAACTCTAAGATTACAATAAGCATTCCTAGTTTAGATAATAAAGTTTCAATTGTTATAATTTAATAAATTTACCGTTCTTTAATAGATGAAAAGTACAGTACATAACGAGAATTTTTTCATTTGCCATCAACCTCTCGAAATTACTAACCTAATTATTTTTTTCTAACTTACCTTCTATTTCCAAGAGTAATCAATGCTTACAGTAACATAACAACAATAATTATAAAAAAAATCCAGTTGGACTGTACCAATATTTGGTGTGCCAAAATAATGTAACGTAATTCAAGAATCGTAATATTATCCCATGGTGCATCACATTTCAACACTGCCACGAAAAGTGGACAACCGGATGACAGTGAAGTGAAACATTTTGATGAAGCTAACCACTTTGGCACAGGTCCTACAAGAGACATGAAAAGCCATGTGAAGTTTTCAAGAATCCACGCACATTACTTTGGAAAAAGTTGCCAATTCATAGTATTCAATATTCTTCAAGTTTTGAATTATCTGAGGATAAAGATTCCAATCTCCTTTCCAATTTAACAAAAATTTGTAGCTTTTACCTTCTGACGAATGATAAAGAACAGTTAGTGACAGCGTAGCATCAAGTTCATCAAACAATGCAAGTGTTTGCTCATAGAGGCCCAAACTTTGATAAAGACGAGATAAACTCATCTGAAAATTGACGGTTTGCCCAAAAATTTTTCCATCAATTACAAGTTTCGCATTAATTACTTAAATCAGAATTATGTTTAGGTTAAAATTACAAAATTATGATCAAGCTATTTTCGTCAAACATAACTGTAAAAGATACAAATTGCTTTTTATTAATAATGTTAAAAAAGAAAAGTTAGTAATTTTCTCGTTGAAACATAAAATTTTTTTAAACTAATGACTTTTTACCTATATAATAGAAAACACAACTGTCTTACTTGATCTCGGCAAAACGTAATGAAATCAAAATTAGAGTCAGAATATTGATCATTTCGACTGGCTAAACTGTTCTCCTCATGCGTTACATAATGTTCCAGAGAATTTAGCAAATGTGACTGCATGCTGCTCTGTAATGCAGCTACATTCGACGAATCATAGATTTCAACAATCCTGAAATCTAAGAAAAACTGAGAAAAAAATAACTGTTACAACCTGAAAAATAACTGTTCTATATGTGACATATTCAACAAAATGAGGAAAACCTTTCAAATTGTACACATCATGTCACATATTGACATGACATATAAAATGAACCATGGCTTTAAAACTTGTATCAATTTTTTACTACAGACTTCCCTTCCTTTGAAAACCGACTGACTTTTAGAGTAATAACCATTTTTACACAAATTTACGGTCGCAAACTCAAATATCCATTAGTTTTTTAAAAAAATTGACTGCGTCAACTAACTGTTTTTTTAAATCTACCTTATCGTTAGATTACTATTTGATGTATTTACTCATTTAATTCAAAATGTAAGCAAAAGAAACTAGTTTTTCGAAGACATAGATGTCCAGCAAGTGATCTGAAGCTAACGTGAGTGAACTCATACGCAATGAGTTTTCAGTGGCAAAGGCGAGGGAAACAAAGTTGGGAATATTGGAGAAGTCTTGATAAAGTAACTCGGGCAAAAAAATCGCAAAAAAAATTGCAGAAATTTAAAATCGCAATTTACCTATTTGTAAATTTCGCAAAATCACTTTTGATCCGCTCAATAAGAGCTCCACGATTCTTATGTTCTCGTGCTTTCACACTATCGAATACAATCAACCATTCTGCACCCTCGATTTTGCTTAATGTTGCGAACCATTCACTTATCTCATTTCTATATTCATTTCGATATTCCGCTACTGTCTGAAATATAAATGAGGGATTCTTTGGTCACTTCCACATAATTTAGCCTAATAACTCTAATTACTTTTCAGATTTTCTCAATCCAGCAGAATGGTGTCCCTATTTTGAAACTTCAAAAAACTAAATCTTCATGTTTATAAGTAAATAAATGGATAAAAATGAGCTTTAAGTATGCGCTAGCAAAAAATAAATCCTTTTCGCATTGTGACAAAAAAACAAGAAGTAAAGTGTCAATTGCACTAAGAATCATGCCCCGTTCCCGAGCTACGAATTGAGTGCTGGTATGGACGAATGAACGAGTCATGAAGACAACTATTTCCATTCATTTAAATATGATAATACATGATTAATGCACATAAATAAGTGCCATTTCATCGGTTGACAATACTGGACACTTCATCTACCATCATTGAAAAACATACGGATGGATTCAAGAAAAAGAAATGCAGCAGTGGTGCTTCCTCCCATGTTTTTACTTTAATCGACTTATAATTAATTACGGTATCATTTGAAAAAGGAACGAATTCGAAGAAGAAATGCGCATGATACAAGAAAGAGTACTGTCGTGAGTTCCTGAAATTCTCAAATTCAGTTTTTGTTTTTTTCTTGAACTTTCCAAATAATAAAGTCTGCTTTTAATTCAGATCTAATCTCAATGTGCTAAAAAACCATAATGATTTTTTCATAAGAGCAAAAAATTAGTTTTCATTCAAACATGAAAATAATTTTTCAATATATTGATCAAATGCTTTTTCGTCTACATCTTCAAACCTCAAAAAAACTTATAATTCATAAATTTTTTTTGACAAAATATATAATTGGCTATAAAATAAGCAATGAATCTTTTTCCCATTTTTTCAAACATTAATGCTTGTTATTGGAAATGCTGCCCACAAAAATTGTGTTGACCTTTTCCATAAAACGACATTTTTGTCGAAAAAATTTGATAATTTTTCATGGCATACTTTTTGCAATGCTTCGTTTCCACGATCTAAAAAAAGATAATTATTAGTATAATTACAGAAACTGTCAGATACTTCGAATATTTCGATTTTTCAACCCGTCTTGCTCATCCATAAAGCGATGTTTAAGTCCTCGAAAAATTTGCTTCACAGTGAGAACACAAAAAGCAAGATGTTTATTAATTACCAAGTAAGGTAGTCTGATTGTGAACCTAAAATCAGCACTCAAGAACCGAAATACTTACATGAAAACTTGATAGGTAACCGCTTTTTGATGTCAACTACACTTCTTAAATCCATAATTTCGTTATTCCCTAAAAAATGGAAGTATTACAGTGCATAACCACGAATATTTAGAAATTAAAACTATTCGCAGTCCTTTATGTCATTTTTCCCCAATTTTAGCAAAGCATTTTAGCAATGCTTAGCAGTCATAACACTCCAAAACAAGCATAACATTCGTATCATTTACAAGAGAAATCATTGGAATATGCTACACATATTTCAATCACGCCATTTAATTTCCTCAATTCTATCGCTTTCTCTTCCTTCAATTATGATGTTTAATCTAGCCGATTTAGTAGAAATCAAACCTGCTGCAATTCCCGCAATCTATACCACTTAGATTAAAACACCGGACAGCTGAAAGTAACAAAAGGCTGCACCATGTAGTACCACTGGTGAACGGCTCGGCCTTCTTAAGGCAAATACTGAAAATAGAAAAATCGGTGTAGGAGAACTCGGAATAGCCAAATAATTTCTTGTGAAAGCGTAACTCTATGACGGGAGGATGTTCACTGCGTTTTTCGCATTCCAGAAACTTGCGTTTATTATAGTCATAACCATTTAACAACTAAGATCATCAAAAAATTCATGTTTCTGGTACGGCGTTTGATTTCCTTATTGCCCAGTTGATGAACGATATTTTGACTGCTTATAGCTTTGTGAGAAATTGTTATCTTTTCGTAAGGGTTCAAAGTTTGCGAATCAGACGAACATTTGATTTCCAAATCAAAAATATTAAATTCGAATTTAATTGATGAAATTATCAAACTGTTACTTTTAGAAAATATATTCCTTTCAAAATTTAAATAAAATGTGTTGCATATTCTACACCTGATATTTTAATTTGGCACTAAATGAGATTTATTTTAATAAGCTTTTAAAAATAAAGTCATATTAAAGAAAACAATATAAAAGAATATATGAAGTAAGTCAAATATTGGGCATAAGTAACTATTAACTTACGAAGGTAAGTCTTTATTTATTTATTTATTTTTTATTTATTTAAATCAAATTAAAATCGTTCACTTTCTAGAATTTTTGAAGAACTAAAATAAGAATTAGATATAATAAACAGATGTGATATAAAAGATGTCATATCAAATTGGTCGTTGTAAGTTAAGCAAACAATAAATTCTTGACAAGTTTCTAAAAGTTTTCAATTTCTTAAAAATCTTGAAACCATTAATCTAAGTGTAAATAGTTTTGTGGCGCATTTTGAAATTCATCAATTTTCGAATTTTTCAAAAAATTAGGATCTAGAGAGACCGAATTGTCTGGTAACAGGAAATAATAATTATGAACTGGATTTTAACGGTGCAATCATGCGATTATGATTGAATTACAACTGTAACCGTTAGTGGACATTATCCAGGATTGATGTTGCTGTTGACAACTCTAAATAAAATTCTCTTTAATTGTTAAACACATAAATTAGATCGTTTCTTTCATCAACTCAATTATAGCAAAAAATTCAACATTTCAATTCAATTTGAGATATTAATGAGTATGGAAATTCTCGTTAAACAGAACTTTTTCTTCTGGTTTTTAGGAATTCTCACTTCAAAGTTTGAAAAGCATTTAGAATGGATCGATTACGTTGACAAACATATGTATTCTATTCAACTGACCACTGCCATTTTTCCAACAATTTTTATTTTTAAGCATTATATGCTTTTTAGGAGGTCAGCTGGAACGACCTATTTTATTATTTATTGATGTTGTGGTGGGATTTGAAATTATATGTTCCCATCGAGATGATACGACGATATGTTGTCCACAGCTAACAATCACTCTTTGTTGATTCATCGTTTTACTACTACCAATGAGGTTCTCTTCAATTTTCTCCATCACTTCTGTAGTATTTTTTCATGGTAAGTTAACATCTCATTTGCATACTTTTAAATGCAATTAATGAACTTTAAATTGTTTTTAATTGCAAAAATTTAATCGGTAATTCTAGTTTAAAATTTGAGTTTAATTTAAAATTTGAAGTTTAGCTCTAATTAAAAAAATTTATAAAATACGAGTTTAGCTCTAATAAAAAAAAATCGCCTAAGTAATAAAAACTGAAATGTCATCCTTATTTTAAATCTAAAATATTCATTTTAGTTAGGATAATACTTCCTTTAAAAAAAAATTTAAAACTTGATTTTAAAATTTAAAATGTTTCTTCGCATATTTACTTTAAGTAACAACACTAAACATCGATGCTGAAATTCCACAAACAAATCTATCATGTAATTTCGATGACGGTACTCTATGCAGATGGCGATCTGATTCTGATCTATGGCTAATTGGCGTTAATATACCAATCAATTCTTATCAGTTCATTCCACATTCCTCAAATACAAGTTAGTAAACTCTCCAATTGTTTACACCTTTACTTATCTTGAGGTTTCAATTTCCATTTACCAAATATTATATTAATCTTTAAAAAATATGAATATCATTTAATTTCGGATGGTCTTTATGCATATGCAAAGGGTGGGACAGCAGTACTGGCTGAAGGACATTTGATTAGTGCTGAAGTGGAAGAGTATGATGACCACCGAGCAATGTTATCATTTAGTTATTGGAAAACTAATAATATATCCAAATTGGATGTAAGTTATTATTTTATTTTATTTATTCAACTGTATAATTAATTATTCATTTTAAGATCTTTCATAAGTTATCTGAAGTGTCGTTGAATTTATTGATTTCTTTTTCCAACAATATATTAATATTATTTTATTACTGCAATAGAAATTCTAGCACTTAATAATAACTACTTTAAATGCAAATATTTTAATTGATATTTGAAATGCATTTAAGGTATGTATTGTACAACAAAATGCCTTTATTTGCACATATACAACTCCTGATACAGTTGACAATGAATTGCAATGGATAAGACAAAAAATTACTCTTTCCAATAGTTTGTCAACACCATTTAAGGTTGAATTTAAAACTGATTCGGAATGTAAGACAATGTATAAAGAGAATTAAATTTAGAAATAACTCGAATCAATCAATTGATAAATATTTTTCAGATTGTATTTCGAGCACGAAATATTTATACACCATCAGATATTGTGGCTATCGATGAGATCGAATACAACAGCAACGATTCTCCAAAGGCATTTATATCATCATCGGTTTGCTTCGTATAAATAATTAATGGATGTCTTTTTTTAAATGTTATTCTTATTCATAGTAGTTGTTTTTTGCAGTATAGCAATGTAGATCAACTTAAAAGAAACAGTCAACTTATGAAATAGTCAACATATTTGGATTTGAAATTATTTCAAGTGTATTTTTAAATTCGAATAATTGAGAATAGAATTTAAAATGATGATTTAGCAGGATATGTGAAGTTGCTAGCAAAGTTTCACATAAAAAGATAAGATTAAAAAAAATGTTAATTTGAATTGCAGCAAATGAAATTCATATCGGTTTAACTTTAAGTTGTCATTTCTTGGACCAAATTATGATTAATACTTTTCGAATTGAATTCATGTAGCTTAAATTGATTCGTAAAATCTTTCTATCTGAATGATTCAAATATCCTGATATTAAATAATCAATTTCAATATGATTCAAAAATGTATCAATTATTAGAAAAAAAATAATCAATTTCAACAAAAAAATAGTTTCCTCGCAAACATATAAATAACAACTGAATATTTAATATGTCCTATGAAAATTATTTAAAACTTGTATTTTATAGTATTAAAATTTCTTTTTCTGATAAATTTCATCATATTTTAGCATATTTTATTAGAAAAGATTAAAATAGAAATATTACATTTATGCGAAAATATAGCATAACCTTGTTTGAGCATTGTAATCTCATAATAATTCTGATTAGAATTCTTTTTTAAATTTAATCAAAATATATTTAAATATGATTTGTTATATTAAGATTTACTATCTTATTTAAATTATTTCGATTAAATTAAAAAAAGAATTGTAATCAGAATTATTATCAATTTGTTAAGCGATTTAAAGATTTTAAAACAAAAAAAAATAGTTGAACCACTTTTCATATTCATTAATCATCGTAGCACAAAATATAATGTACAGTGAAGTTAAATGACACTCAAAATCTTTCCTTCCTAATTTTACAACACATATATGTATGTTGAGAGTAATACATTTGTTATAAATTAACATTCATTAAACAAAATTAAAATTCAAAATTATACTTCTATTTGACAGATTAAAAAAAAAAATTGAACAATTTCATTTATTCAATAAGTTGATTTACTATAAATAAAAGCCGAACTAATTTTTGTTATCATATAACATTGCACTATTCTCAAATGATATTTTCTGTTGCAGATTTCAAGAAATGAGATTTGGGAAAAGATTTTACCAAATAAAAGAGCAATTTATACCTCATGCATTCCCATTCAATGCACATTTATTAATTCATCAACCTGTGCATGGTACTTTTGGTAATGTTGAATGAAAGAATGAAATGAAAAGTTTAGAAATCAATTCGATTAATTATTGTCTTTCTTAAGATTTTAAAATATCCTTCGATGGAGATAGTTTGTAGTTTTTTTTTTCACTGCTTCTTCAAATTCGGCTAATATAAAATGATTTAAGTATTTATTTGAGGACATTGGAAGCTCCATGGCATCAATTGGAAGGTAATATAGCAATTGATAGTGAAGGTGAAGGTTTGGCGAAAAGTGGTTTTTTCTCGGTTCCAGCTGAAGCATTCTTTGAAATGGATGTTTGGATGAGGTAAAAACACTTTCTACAATAATGGTAATGAATTATTGATAATCAATGATAATCGCTAATAATGTCGCTGATAAAAGGTAACAATGTGGGTGCGCTTTCTTTACAAATCAGTAATTCAACAAGAATCAGTAATTTAAATTTAGTGATAACGCTTTGTTGACTGTTTTGGAAAATATGGGAAATAAATTGATGATTTGGAGTCGAAAAGGATCATCATACAATGGAAATGGATGGTATCGTTTACGAATTCCATTAAAAGAAAGCGAAAAACCAATTCAATTATTATTGAAAGGAACAGTGCCATCAAATAATTTCATAACTGTTTCTAATACTAAACTTGTGAATAGTAATGGGAATGAAATTCGCTGTGGTGGGTTACTTTGCTTATTTAAATTCTTCTTGAAATGATAATAATAATGAATGATAGCAATATCGATTTCAATTTTCTTTTCACATAAAAGCATTTTTATTTTTCAAAAAACAAATGAAATTTTTTATATATTTCCTATTACTATCAATGATTTATCTAATATTTCGACTTCTTATAGGTATGAATACTCTAAATTCTATCAAATCTCATTTTAACAATATTGAACGATTGACTGCATTTCAACAACTATACACAAATGAGGTTTTTACTAAGAGTTATTTCCAATATATGATAAGAAATTAAATTTTATGCTTAAATTCAAAGATATCTTGAACAACTGACAAATGGAGCGAATTTAGATATGAATGTGATAAGCAAAATGAAATAGAATTTAGGTACCATAATATAACTGTTTACAGATAAAATCAACGACAAAGATTTTGAAAGAGGAAGATAGCAAATCCACTCGAGCAATTACTAATAATATCATGCAAACACAGAATTTCTATAATCGAACATCTTTTACTGCACCGATGATAAACTCGAATTATTCTTTATCTTCCAATCCGAAAATTGAAGAAATTCGAAAACCATTATTGACAAATGACAAAATCGGAAAATTTTTGAAGAATCAATCTGCGCTTCCATTTGAAATCATAGATGGTTCTACGATACAACAACAACATAAGCTGCACTCTACCCTTTCATTACTACCATTTCGACAGCATGACGGTATTGACCATAAATCTGTCACCATTATCCACTCATTACCAAGTAAGTCTTATACAGAAAGTAATTCTTCATTAACATTAATTCTCGTATCATTTCAAACAAAAGATGCTATTTTCAATTCTTGATAGAACTTCATAGTTATACAAGCTATCATTTATGAAAGAATACCAGATATTTATTTCTTAAACTTTTATGAGAATTCACAATGAGTTTTCTAAAAACTGAAATAACGAATATGAATTTCTTGAAACTGAAATATACAATTTAGGCCCTATTATAAATCAATATACGAGATCTAATGTCCCAGTAAAACATAACATTATGAAAGAATTAAATGCACTGCAATCGCAAATTGGTGGGCAACCCGCTTTGGAAATGCAACTCCGGCAACTTGCACAACGTTTCGGATTCAATCAAGTTGACGCCGGGCAGGTTTGATTTCCGCTGATAAGACATGAAAGGTTATGTGAATTTTCGGGGTGCAGCAAAGCAAATTTCCAGATGGCAGCAAATTCTCGTACCGAAAGTAGTTGCGCATGTATTTCCTGCGAATTCCTCGTGACTATAAACTGCCATTGATTTCTTCTTTTTTAATTGGATAAGCTGTGATTTATCAGTTATCACATATTGATGTATTATCCATCTTTTTTCCAGAATTTGGAATTATTGAAGAGTGTTATGCATTCAAAAGGATTGAAGCCCAAAGTATCAGACTTATCCGTTGATATTGATCAAGAACAAAATAAAAAGCTTGAACCAATAAGGCCTATTAATAATATATCCTATTTCATACCGGTAAAAATTCCCATTGTGCAAAAAATAAATGATATCGTGAATTAAAACAAACTTTTTTAAATTATGTAGATCTGTTTAAACTAGAGCAAATGTCACTTTTATTGCCAGCAACTATTTCAGGTTATGCATTTTCTCCCCTAATGATCAGTTCAATTCATTCCTTTCATTTCTATCTAATGAATTGTGAAAGAAATTTATGGGCTAATCGAAAGATTTATTTCGTCAAAATTTAAGTGATGAAACACACCTGGATTTCATATTGCCGCTTCTGCAACGAAATATTAACCATAATTATCACTTACCCGTCTTGATTTTATTATTCATAAATACTACTGCCACAACTATTGTAGCACTTTTCGTTTATAAAAATAAATGAATAATGCATTTGCCTCGTTTAATTAATCAACGTTTTGTTAATCAATTAATTATCAAAACTATGACTCAAATGTTATCTTCTTGCCCTAATCCGAACTAACTGCTTTTGAATAACTGAACATAAAAAAAGCAAGCAGAGAAGAAAAAATATGTTGCAAGACTGGTTACTTGGTTCATTAAATTATTAAATGATTTACTTCATTAAGAATAGATTCCCTAACAAGATATTTGCTTACTGATCGATTTCTGCGCCTACCTTATAAATCGTGCTTTGTCCAACCTATAAAAGACACAATCATGTGATACCAGCTACTATTCTAACTCTTCTAACTTGAAAGATTCAATGATGTATGATTGATTGATAAATATGGTAAATTCTTAATCAATCATGTAAAAATATTTTTTATCATCATTTCCATCTTTTTGCTCCTTCTTATTCAGTCATTGCAAAATGCGAAAATTATTGAAAATTGCAGTAGGATATACAATGCTTAAAGGCCTATAAATTGATTGACCAAATATCTCCAAGTTTAATGCATCATTTGATTGAAAGATTTTCAGTTCCTGGAAATTTTTCCAATTTCATTATTCTATTCAAATTCTTTATAATCTACTTGATTACAACCACCACTATATGCTTATCATTAAATAATAGACAACCAGTGTGTTATTACTGCTTTTCATCGAGAGCTTAAGAAAAACTTAAAAATCTAGAAAATAACAAAAAGGTACTTAAAATAGATGGCCTTTAATAATGAAAAAATATTTTAATAAATACATTTCTAAATAAATTAGGGAATTGAAGGAGAAGGTTAAAGTTTCATTTATTATATAAGAGAAAGAGAGAAATAATAGAGGGAAAATAATCTCGGAAAATAAAATTTGAATTGGAAAAAAAAGAATTTAGTTGTATTTTTGTCTAATCGTTTACGGTATATCATTTAATATGTGGATTTTCCATTTTCTTCACATAACATCATGAAAACCTTGAAAATATTCAATCCAAAAGTGCCACCTGCTGCATTCAAACTTGATTAGTAAATTATTAAATTTTATTCTTTTGTGCTCCTCCTCTTCTTAACGTTCATTCTATGATTTTTTTTGAGATTTCTACACGATATATAAATGCTCTCTGATTTGTTTAAAAATATATTTACTGAAATATTTTTTCCTTATTAGGAGTCAGCTATTTTAAATAGATTTTCGTCATTTTCCAAATTTTTAAATTGAAATTTTGTTCATATTTTCTTAAGCTTCCGATGAAATAATAATAACAGACAATCAATATCAAGCGCATAGTGATTACGCTTGAATATAGAGAGAAATCTAATCTGCTGGAGATCTAAACTATTTGCATCCTTTGATTAAGATATAATTTTACAACATGCATTTGCCGAATGACTTTTTTATATATTTAGATTCAGTAGAGCTCCAAAATGAATTTGGAAAATAGATCCGAACGATTACTTAGAGAAATTAGCAGTGGAAGAAAAGAGCTAAAAGTTCAATTCTTTAAGTATTGACCGCAAATTAACGAAGAATTTTATTAAATGAAATTTGCACAATAGATGGAATACTCTGAATATATAAAAGGAATTGTGATAATGAAATAATTAACAAAGTAAAGTATGAGAGAAATAAAAAAGCAATTGTCGCTAAAATGCCCTCATCCAATGATATTACATTTACAATATGTTTTCTTCCGGAGATGAGCATAAATGACTAGGAGAAAGATCTCTGAAATGACCTCTTCCCGTATAAAAAAACAGTAAAGATGTTAGCAACTAACATATTTTATTCAGTACGTTATTTGCTGCAATCGTTTAGTCCTCAGGATGATTCATCAAATGCACACCTTATCCTGAGGTCATATATCCAAACAATCTTCTGCGGTATGACTTCATATCCCAAATTTTTTGGAATAATTGTGAAAAACGATAACTGGCGTAGGATGACGTACTTTCCTGCGTAACAAAAACAAATAACATCGCTGGCAAGTTGACCTGACCATTCACGTTATCACATTACGCTACGAGGATGAATTTTGATGTGACGAATATTGATGAGAGAACGAATTTTGCAATTGGTCAGATAGTTGAAGCACATTAATGAATGTGACATAGGGCAACCGTCAGGGTTTTTTTTTGTGCGGTGAAGTTATAACAAAACTCTGTACATGTTTGTCTGCTATTATTTTCCACTTCAAGCATTGCGGTTATCTATTAATCTCTCCGCTACATTCTGATGTCACTTTATCAATATTTCATCTCTCTCATTTGCATAATTCAAAACATCCCTCATTTGCATAATTCAAAATAGGGATGCTTTCTTCCAGATTGTGAACTTGTTGCGATTAGCATGCAATAAATTCCAATGCTATAATTTTGCGAACTGACTGATGTTAAAAAAATCTCCAACTAGAAATTTATTTTAAAATTTTCGTGACTATGGATTAGTTTTAGACTTTAATTTAAACTGGAACTGCACATTTTTGTTGTGCAGTTTAATTACGTGATTCTATTTACTCTTGGCAATATTTTTTTAATCTCTGTAATTTCCTTTTTTTCTGTTTTCTCTTTTAAGCAATTTACTATTGAACGTTAATGGATTAAATGAATCTTTCTACTGATAAATTGTTCACATTCAGAAATGGAGTTAACTGACCTATATTTTGTGATTTCATCTTTTCTTTTGTAGATCTCTCATTTCGAATGACGGTGGTTTGTTAGACCGTACTATCTTTTGTTGTTATTGCTCTGCAATGCAGTCAGCTGTTGAGGTCACCACGATGACGACACAATTAGGTTCTCAGAGTGGTGGTGGTGGCCGAGTATCTGTGAAAGATTTATGTTGCCTTTTTTGTTGTCCTCCACTGCCTTCCTCAATTGTCTCCAAACTGGCCTTTATGCCGCCTGAAGCAAGCTATCGCATTGTTAAGCATGATTCCCAGCTGTAAGTTTTATTTATTTCGATTTGCCCATTTTAAAATATGTGAATCACTATTGATAAAGAAGTTCTTCAATAGACAGCTGTGTGAAACATATGATTGCGGTATAACAAAGTTCGGATAGACATAACATCAAAATTTCATAGCGGAGCAAGATGCTTTTTTATTATCATAATTTTACTTCTAAAAGCTTTCTTGAAATCTTTATTATGTTATTGATTTTCTCATTTGTATTGTTATTTTCAGCACTTCATTGGAATTAGTGGAAGGACGGGCAGATTGGCCTCATGGCTACGACGAACTCCGTAACATCGATGTTTTCCACACGCGAACACGACGGCGGTCAGTTTAAATATTTTTTGCTTGAAACTTTAGCCATTTCTTTAAAATAATTTTCGTTATAATGAAATAAGTTTCAGAAATGACATTGTTTGTATGTATGTCAAGCCTTGTGGTGATGCTCGTTTCACTTTATTATTTTCACATGGCAACGCGGTTGACCTCGGACAGATGTGCAGCTTTTATTATGGACTTGGTTTTCGCCTCGGGTGCAATGTTTTTAGTTACGATTATTCGGGTACATGTTGCTATAAATGCTTCACTTAATAAAATCGAAAAATTATAAGGGACTGCTCGCTGGCTGTCACTTCCGGGGAGATAAAAAAATTATAATGGATTGGAAACAACGTGAGATGCTTATTTATTGTTGAAATGTAGTCGGCATAGTTGCTTGACTGAATAATTAGAAAAAATATTTAGTGGAGTTTAAGTTTAAAAAAGAACTCGAACAGGCAAAGTAATATTGCAGGTTTTTTTGTGCGAAAATATCTTTTCTTGTTTCTAGAAATTGCTTTTGAAGGGTGTAATTGATACGGTTGCATGTAACTAACGTGCGTTGCGAACTAATTCATCTAAATGGGTTCTTGTAAAGTCAATCATGAAATACTTTTGTCGTATTATTCAGGTGTTTATGCCATTTTTCACTGTGTGAAGTTCTGTTCATGTTCAGAAATTCCATTGTAATGCACTGTATTTCTAGGATATGGCTGTTCCAGTGGTAAGCCATCAGAGAAGAACCTCTACGCTGATATTGCGGCAGCATTAGCAGCACTACGTTCAAGATATCAGATGCCTTTAAATCAAATTATTTTGTATGGTCAGTCAATAGGTAGGTGCGGTTTTAATTATGTAATGTTATGTAATAATTGCGTAATGTTTGGTTTGTTATTTCATTTCCTCGTTTTTGTTTTAAAACTTAAAATTCATAATTCTCAAGCCTTATGATTAAACTTCTCTATAGGCAATGATCGAGAACTGGTTGAACATGTCTCCCATCAATCTCTTGAAAGGAATCGACACAGTATTTTTAAGTCGCACATTGCTTTATTTGTTCATTTCAGGAACTGTTCCAAGTGTAGATTTGGCAAGTACTGAAAGCTCCGTAGCAGCACTTATTTTGCATTCTCCGCTAATGTCCGGAATGCGTGTGGCGTTCCCTGGAACACAACGAACATGGTGTTGTGATGCGTTCCCATCCATCGATAAAGTAGCACGTGTACGTTGTCCTACATTGGTTATCCATGGTACTGACGACGAGGTTAGTTGCTGTTGCAGTTTATGATTATAAATCCCTCCGAACATGTATTTCTGAGTATGTCACTACTAATTTATGTTATTGGATAGTTAAAGCAGAAATTGCAAGTGAATATTTCTAATTTTCTGATCAATACTCAATAATATCCTTGTTTGCTATGAGTACTTTTTTTGCAGGTAATCGATTTTTCGCATGGTGTGTCCATTTACGAACACTGTCCTTCATCGGTTGAACCACTTTGGGTACCTGGCGCAGGACATAACGATGTCGAACTACATGCGGCGTATCTTGATCGGCTGAGAGCATTCATCGAAAATGAAGCTTATAGAGGAAAGGAGATCGGTACCACTACAACGACAACTTCATCTCTGGCGCGTAATACTTCATGATGTTTTGGTAATATTTGTCGTCTTTTCCACAGCCACTTTACTTAAGGTTTCAAGATTTCTTTTTAAATTCACCTTTCATAGTTCTTGAAACAACCCGCTATTTGTATGGCATGTTTTTAGAAGAAATTGGATGAAGCTTATCTGAAGAAAGAAATTATGTTGTGCTTTAAAAGTTTATTTCATTGAAGTTTCGAATATTAAAGCATCAGCGGCATACGTGCAAAATGATAATTGTTCTATATCTTTGGAATGGCTTAAAAAGGGATGCAAATAGGATTGTTATGGGTCGGATGTTTTGCAGCTTATGATTTTAATTCATATTAATCAATATGGCTATGTTTTCTTGAATTTCTTGCTATCAAATACTGTTTATTTTTATGGCGAATATTTGTTCATGTTTAGGTGCTTTCAAACTGTCCTTTTCAGCACAGGAATTGGCATTACTTATTGGGATTTTTTTGCATCTAGTACCATTCCGCTGTAATTTGATGTTGCCATTCAAGTTTTCATTCTCTTTTTTTCATTCTTTTATATTATTTCTACGAAATTTTGAAGAATTGTCCATGGGGAATTTAGATTATTCCAGCTTGTCATTATCAGTCCTTTCTTATATGTATGTCTTTTTGTACCCTCTGTTGTTTCAATAGAAATCAATATATCATTAAAGTAATAACTGCTCATCAGCTATGGTTTAATTTATTCGAAAATTAAGGTTGGAAATACATTGAATTGATGTGTGAATTTGAATCTTGAGTATAATTTCGATTTCAGTTTAAAACTTGGTTGATTTTTGATTGCAGTTGAAATTTGCGAACAGTTATCACTTTATATTCATGTTTTATGCCGTTTTTCTCTTATCTTTATTTTTTATTACGTCGTGGACAGATCTGTATTTTCTAAGATTACTCATAATGGTGTGTAAGATAAGCTGCAGAGAACTTTTGGAAACAAAGCATGCAATTTTATAGAAATCCACTTACATGAATAAATCAGATCTTATCACTCTGGGTTTCAGTTCATTGCTTTTTTAACCAACAAATTCAGTTATACAGCTTTTCTTTTCTTTCATGCTCCGTATCAATTGATTTTGCTTTAAGAATGTTGAGAAATACATCTTTATTCACTTCTCTTAAGTACATATTTATGTTTGTTCATTAGAAAATTGTTTGATTTTGGTAATTGAACAGTTATTCCTCTTCTCTTAATTTTTCTTGCTCTGGATTGTCTCGAAATGTTTTTTGTCCAAGTTGAAGTTTCGGAATTTTAAGTAAATTATAATGGACCAATTTTTAAATTCTCCCCATTTCAGATAATAAATTCGGGAAGTGTTGTGTTTGTTTCGATTTTTTCAAATGTAATTTACTCAGTCTTGAGGAATTTTGGGAATAAAAGTTAGTTAAATTTGAGGAAGTGGCAATTTCCTCTACCTTGAGGACAAAGTTTTTGTTTGTAATTAGGGGAAGTGTTGTGTTTATTTCTATTTTTTTCAAATGTAATTTACTCAGTCTTAAGGAATTTGGGAATAAAAGTTACTTAAATTTAAGGAAGTGGTAGTTTCCTCTGCTTTAAGATTTTCGTTTGTAATTAGGGACTCCTTTGTCAATGAATTCTTCTAACTAAGAGAACTAATTAATGAGAAAAATCTTCTATTGATGTTTTGTCTGGGTATTTCTAGAAGGCAATCTAAAATGCTAAATTTTGGAATCATTTTTTTATATTCGTTAGAGGCTGTGAACTGGCTTAATCATAATGTTTGATTTAACATATCTGATTGGGTACTATTATTGGAGATAATTTTATAGTGTCTGAAAATGTTGAAAATGGTCTAGATAAATCTTTTAAACTTCTATCTACCTTTTTAAGAATAAAATTAAAAAAACTGTTAATGACAAATACAAGTATTAATTGCAATTTTGGGGAAGAATAACAGATCACGTTTTATGAATCGGTATCTTGCAGGACTTCAAATACTTGTATTTGATTAATTCACTTTGGTTTCATTTTATAGTTTTATTTGTTAAATTTATTATCTGTAGACGCCATTCTCATAGGTTTGTACGGCATCAATTTGCATAGTACTAGAGCGGAAATAGAATCTTCTTTCTTTTATTCAAATATTGGAAGGTCGAAGGAACTATGATTTTGCATTCCGATTTTATTTTTGGCCTTATGTTTATTATTGTTTATGAGTTGTGTATATTTTCAAAGTTTGATGAGAAGTTATGTTTTGTTATTGGTTTGGTTAGTGATTTTTTATCCTCTTCCATTATATGCTTTTTATGTCCTTAATTGAGTATCTCAATAATGTGCTTTTCATCATGGATTGTTTTTAGTTTACTGTTGAAAATTTTCAATCCTAAATATGCAGTAATTAGAGAGCTTTAGATAATTAGATTAGATAGCAATTCTAAGAAAATCTAGTTTCTCAAAAATCATACTCTAAAACTTTTTGCTCCATTTACTTCCACTTATCATTTTTTAGAAAATATTTATCTTGTTTTTCTTGTTGTTGCTATTTTTAAACAAATCTTTATTTGAGTAATTTTTTAAATTATTCTGAAATTGTGATCATTTTTTTGAAAAATATGATTGCATTTTCTTCTTACTATAGAAAAAAAGGGCGTTGTCGTAGTGATCAAATTGAAAAGAAAAAGAACAGGTATTCTTTAACCATTACTATGCTATTAAGATATTTAACTTTCGTTTTTACAATTCTTAACATCAAGCGATTTTCACTTATTTTTTTGATTTCTAACGTCAGCAATTTAATTTTCTACTACTTGTTGTTTTTACCTGCTGATGTCACTTTCTTTTTTAATTCATTGAAACAATGCTTTCTTAGTATTCTCGAATGAAATTCATTCTTTTTCATAAACAAATTTCAGTTTCACCGCTTTTAGTTTTAGTTTTTTCTATTTACTTTGGAAAATAGTCTTCAAGTTTCGCTGTAGTTATTCTCCCATTTCATTAAATAAATAAAAGTCACTTAGCTCGATACCGCTAATGTGGAAGCAAAGAATAAGAGCAGAATTCAGAAATCAACTGCGAAACATAACTTCAAGCATTCTATATACTTTTGATTCTTCTGCAGTAGCTTTTTAATGGTACAAGAATTTAAAATTAGCTAACTAAATAAATTTATGCCGCCGAAAATTACCTATATTTTATCATCTGGTAACCCATATAAAATGCATTCATCCAGACGTGTAATGAAACAATGAACTATGAACTAATTAAATGTTTTCTTTTCATTTTGCTAAAACGAATATGAATCAGAGAATTTCAAATTCAACCAATTTGGATGTAGCAAAATGAATTTTTCTGACGTCTAGTTAAAAATCTTTTATTTTCTAACATTTAAATCATTCCGATATAAAAAGAATAGATTGCTCGATCTTGAAAATTTATCGGAAATGTAGTATTTCGTGGGGATTTTATTTTCAGTCAAATGCAGTAAAACTGAAGGAACTGCCACACCACTTGGATAGCATTTTAAAAAAAATTTGCAAGTACAGTAACTAACAAAGACGATTGTCACAGGTAATCATCACCTCCTTTGAGCTCCATTTTTCAGAATGCCTAAGATTATTGGAATTTAAATTTGCCGAAATGTGAAGTCGAGGGATGATATAAAAGATGAAATCAAAATTACAGGGTCTGTGAATCAATTTATATTTATTAGTCAATTAAAAATGATACCGTGGAAGGGTTATATTTTATATTTGAGTTTTATTTTTGTTTTTTTTTCCTTTATTTTAACCCATTCATTTAAATGAAAAATTCAGATGAGTTTAGAAAAAGGTAAGGGCGGCAAATCTTTGGATTATTATTTATTCACATGGAATCACACTTCAAATATAGGTTAACACTAATCAAAAATTCAAATCGAATTTCAAATATTCGATTTGTTAACAATTTTCAGTACTTTCACACCTGATGAATTCGTTACCATTTATTATGCATTTTTCTCGATATTAAAATATTTTGGTGCTTTTTATATTGATGTATCCGTATCGGATTTGTTTTTGATGTTTGTTCCTGAAAAGTTTTAAAAATTAGTAACAGCTATAAAAATTACTTTCAAGAACAATTCAAGTCGTATATTTTGCATAGGAAAGCTAAAATAACGTTCTTCAAACATTACTTACCATTAATGGAATATTTAAACAATCATCCAAACCAAAATAATCAACAACTGAAATTGTTTCTTCCTTTAAACTATTTGGATTGCTTTTTTTTGATCGACTATTTAATATGCAATTATCGATTTTTTGCTAAAAATTAATTTATACTTTTTTGGCATAATAAAAGTTAATAAATTATCGTACTTGTTAAAGAAGAAAATGAAATGAAATAAATCAATGACGAATAATTTTTCGATATTTCTAATACCTAGTAGAATACCTGGGAGAAAGTAATAGTATATTTAACCTCATAAAAGTACATTATCGAATGACATTGAAATATTTGACCATCTTGAATTGACCATAAACACTTTAATAAGCATTTCGTTAAAGTTGGTGTTGTTAAAATTGCATCAGGAAAAGTGATAAGTACGTGTTGTGGTTGATGTTCAATTAGTGCTCCATTACATAATTCTGATATTTGTTCTATAAGAAAAAGAAAGAGAACTGAAATATTTCTTTAAAATGAAATATCTCTTAACAAAAACGATAAATTGGGAAAGAATAAGAATTCGAAATATATTTAAATTTTAAAATAAATAATTTTTTTCATTACCTGAGAAACAATGTTTTCCATAGTAAATGGTTGAAGTATCGCCACGTATTAAAGGACTATTAGTTTGATGAATTATTGAATATAAAGTGCAACGATTTGAATTCTCATCAAATGTTGCTGCGGAACAATAATAAGCTGTATTCTTTTTATACTGAAATTTCGACTTTGAACAAAAATTTAATTTTGTCATTTTAATAATTAGAAAAAATAATATAATAACAACAATTTGATAATATATTTTTAATTATAATATAGCGAACTTTTTTGAATTTAATTTAAAATTAATAGCTTTCATTGTAATGTAATTTTATTTACAACAAAATGAAATGAATAATATTTGTAGAAGAATGATGAAAAGATAACAATTTTACCACATTTCTAATACATGATTGTAGGCAATCTATTTCTGTTGTGAAATATTTCCGCTTACGACCATTAAATTTTGATATCCTCCATCCATGCATTTTCATCATTACTATATTTTCACCATTTGGGCAGTCTAAAAAAAAATAATCTTTAAATAAAAATTTAAATTATCAAAAAACAGGAATTATCTTTTATTTGCTTATTTTAAATTTTACTTTTAAAATTTAATCTTTTTCATTATTAAAAGATTAATTGATGAGAATTCATAAAAGCGTACTATATTGTTGTTCATTTTTACTGTAATTTAATAAAATATCATGATGAACAGATGATATGTTCAAGTTCGTTCCAATCTTATCCATTTCTTGCTTGCTAAAAAAATCATATAGAAAAAGATGAAAAATCTTAATGTTAAATAAATAAATCAATAAAATAGGCAATGAATAAATAAGAAATGGAATGATAATGAATTTTAAAATTAACAATTGAAAATTATTTTAATTCAATAAATATAATATCATATAGAAATGTTTACATTATTATCGGTTTCTTTCCATTACGAATCGTTTTCCTCACTCTTATTTGCTTTGATGGATTTTCTGAAAAATTAAAAACAAATTGAATTATAAATTTAATTATAGCCTTTTCTGAAATTTAAATTATGCTAAAACATATATGGTTAATGATTTATTATTATATTATCGTATGAGATTAAATAAAAGATAAGCTAAATCTTAGCATTATTAATTCATTTGGATTTAAAATATGATAATTAGATGACAAATTAAATGATAAAAGGCAACCTATTAAACATTTAGAAGTATTATCTATTTGTGGCTCCAAATAATAATGCCATTCCATTTTCGACACTTTTTTTCCTCGTAAATCAAATTTAAAATGATAAACATCACAGATTGAAAAACGTATTGAATAAGATGCCGAAAGACATCCAGGTAAACTAAATTAAATTTTTCACATCCATATTTAATATATAATTGCAGAAATATGTGGGAAATTATGAAATTTCTGCAAAATCTAATTTAAATTGCAGAAATTTGTGGGAGAGAGAGAGGAAGAGAGAGAGAGAGAGAAAGCTAAATAAAGAAACTGGTAATAATTGGTAATAGTTAAATTTATTATCACTACTGCATTTATTATTTCCATTAATTGAACTAAATTTGATTACATCAAATTGTTTGAAATTTTTTACAAAATGGATGAAAATTTGTCGAATGTTCCACATATACCTCGAACAGAATTGGGCACATTCAATTAAGCTAATTCCAATCCGTCGTTCAAATGGTGCTGTAGCAGAAAGAGCGCAATTGTTCATCACATAAAAGCATTGTTGCAGATGTTGTTGATACTTTCCTATACCCTTTAACTATCATCGAATCCTTATTTATTTCTCTTATTTACCAGGCATTTAATTTTTAATAGCCAACTAATTGAATCGAATGCACTGAAATTTTGTCATTTAGCAATGACTCAGTTAGATATGAAAAATTTGTGCAGTATCAAACAACGAGAATTTTACATACTTGTAGCTTATTTTCAGTTGAACTATTTTCCTTTTCCGTATAGATCACTAAAATATTGCTTTCCTGATCGTTGCTATTATCATTAAAACCTGAAATTTCCATTTTGAATTTAAATTAACTTGGAAAGATTTGATGAAAATTTTAAATAAAAATATATCGGAGATATCGGAATAATTTGCAAAAATTTTATCAGTAAAAAAAATTAGACAAAACGTTATATTAGAAGAAAAATTATGATATCGTAGTATTTATCATTCAAGAAATATAAAATCAACTTAGCTTTTAGGCTTCAAAATTTTTATTTGTTTATTTAATCATTCATATTTAATTGTAGTATAGCATTTCAAAGAATTAGAATTATTGAAAGCTAACCTTTGCTATCACTATAACAAGCTTTAACCAATTTTTCTTTCCGATCCATCTCCTTCATGGTTATACTTTTGGCTTTTTCTGGCTTCTCTTCCTCTTTGCTCTTTTGATTCATTCGAGTACCATTTAAAATGGATCGTACGTCAAACATTTTAATATGCTGATAACGATTTCTCCGTTTTTTAAATTGACTTTCAATGTTGTATATTTTAGCTTGTAATGGTTGTATACTGCCATGTATTATGGCTCCAGGATTTGCTAACCAATCATGACCTATGTAAAGATTAAGTAATTATTTAAGCAAATTTCGTTAAATGGTTATCCTTTAAACATTTTAATTCGCTGTGTGCCTAGAAGGAGTAAAAATACTGCAACGATCAATCAGTCAGTATTAGTATCATTATTACAAATTTTATCAATAAAACAATCTTTCTATCAGCGCTACTACTAGTCTAATGATCGATTGATTACACCTATGATATCCATTGATAATATTCTTATAAAATTCGTATAAGAATAGACTCTTTCGTTCTATCCTAATTCACCTCCAATATTAGCTAAAAAATTTTCATAATGTGCTGCAAAAGAAAATCAGCTTAAAAACTCATTTACAAATTAACATATTATTTGACAAATAAAATAATCTTACAAATTGATACACAAATTTTTACCGTATATTACGGGATTCCATAACTCCAAAATGACAGGTTTACCATTAATAAATGTTTTTTGTTCCTCTAATATTTTTCCTCTCGTAATTTCTCGTTTAATCGAAATGTCTGTGTCAATGGCGTTTTCAGCTGTATCAATCTAAATTTTAATTTATGGTTTAATTTTATTAATCGATAGTTTTAAAACTAAGATATACAAGTAAATCAATGAAATAATCGATAAACAAGATGGGTTAATTGCATTTTAATTAGGTGTTAATGTTTTAAATTCATTATTGTTAACAGCTTTTCTCAATTTCTTCCAAACCACATTTCCCAAAAAAATGTATTTCTTTTTGAAGAAATTTTTTAAAATTAAAAAAAAGCATATAGGATTTTTTAATACCATAACAGTGTTGATACCATTATTCTTCGGTATTTGTGCAACGATTAGTTCAGTTAACGAATTTTTATATTTCGGTATTGATATACCCATTTGCTGCTTTTCCAGATGTATTAAATTATTAAATGCATCATCAATTTGATTGCCCAAACCGGATGATAAATCGAAGCGACCGGAATCTGTGGTTAATAGTAAGGAAATAATATGTTTAAGTAATATGTAATGAACGAAATTCGTTAGAAAATAATTAGAGCTATAGAAGAAATTTCTTTTGAATGAATCTCTCTATCTTTTCAAAATTGCGTAATGGTTAAAATTAGGCACTATATCCATGAATTTTAAATACTTTCTTCCTGTTCTTGCTGACTGCAAATAAATCAGATAATATGATCACATCAAATGAATCTATCCGGTAAATGTCATTATGAATAAATAGCTCAGAGAGTAGATTTCATACCTAATTCTTAAGTAAAGTTGGAACTCTTTTCATCCAGTCATTTAATTTGAAGGAAAATTTGAAGATATCATATTGTTTAGTTCATTAAGTTTTATTTTGTATTGAATAAGGATTTACCTGAAGGAAAATTTGCCTGATCCGAAATTTCTAAACTGATATTTAACCATTCAAGAGAAAACTTTCTAATTTTATCTTCAAACTATATTTTTTCTCATCAAACAAAATTTCGACAACTGACTTGAATTACTTCTTGGTAATGGCGTTGTTGAAGTTATGTCAGTAAATTCATTTTTGGCTTGCCATTGTTCATTTGAACTATAAGTTAAGCTATTTTCAATTTTCTTCCGGTTCAATTTCTCAAACCCAACATTCTGTGACAGTATCAAATCTAAATTCATCTCGTTTCGATCGAAGTTGCTACTACTGTTTGTTATTTCTGACTTGCCGTCGTTTTCGAATTTTGAGTGAATTTTCCCTTCATCATCATTTGATAGAAATTTATTAGTTGATGACGATTCCATCAGACCATTATTATCGACAGTTGCTGTCATTGGTGTAGCTGATGATAATGAAAATGATGGTGGTGGTAGCGGTGACGGTAAAGGGGATGTTTTCAGATGTAATACTGAAAATGATGAAAGGTCAATCTCCGGGGATGATGAAGAGTTTTCGGGAAAAAAATTGATTTCCTTTGTACTCAATGTCAAGTCTTCGGCATCAACAGTCTCCATCATTGTTGAAAACTTAGCTGATGTCGTTTCTTCTGCTCCAAAATTGGTAATGTCCTCAATGAAACCAATTTTTCCTTCGGTAGATTGAATTTTTTGGTCTTGTTTTGGAATTAAAATTGTTGAAAATAACTCTGAACTAGTAGTAAAAATGGTTTCAACAGTAGCAGTTGTGGTTATTAAATTATCCTCCGAAGTTGGAGTATTCCTTGTTAAAATATTGTTGACAGAAATTGCCGATTGATTTGTTGATGAAGGAAATGACGGATTTTCCCTGAAATATCACCAATGTGAATAATATTAATAGCATCAAACAAACTCACATTTGACAAAAAAAATCAAAACATGCAAACTGATATTTGAACTAATTTAAATTACTTCAAAGTGGTAATATCTCTCTGATTGCCATTCGAGTTCGAATCATTGCTGCCGCTGTTATCATCGTTAAGCATATTTCCATTTTCAGTGATACTGACGTGATATAAATCATTTTTTTTGATAACCCGAGTGGGTGTGGAGACTGTCGCAACTTTAATGATCGATTGACCGGAATCAGTTCTTTGCATTTCCCAATATTTTAGTGATAGCGGAGCAATCGCTATTTTCGAATCCTTTTTTTGAGTTGTAGAATTTGTATTTGATAATTCATGCTCTTCATTTTTGTTATCGTTATCTAACAAGATTCGATTACTCCTTGTATTACTGGTAATATTACTATCAGTATTAAGATTAATAGCAATGGATGTTGTTATCTCAAAATCTGCAAATAAAATTTTGATTTAATATATTTTAATTCCTTTTCTCACTTCTTCATTTGTTCCATTTCCACATATTCTCCCATATTAATGATTCTTTTAGTACCAGCTATAAATTCAAAACTTTTGAGCAGACAATATTCATTATTTCTTGCACTACTTTACTTCCAACAATTGAAAACATTGAAAGTAAATAGTTATTTCTCAACTATATGAATTTTTGATGCTACCCGCTTAAAATTTTAATTTTTTTATTTAATAATTCTAAATTTATTTTTTCATTTGATAATGCATGTATGTTTAATGTGCTTTGTATGAGAATTTACAATTAGATATTTCAATCTCTTAGTTAATTAAATTCATAAATGGTTTTTGCACTGATAAACTTTTGTAGTGACTTAATTGATATCATTTTTTTGCCAGATTTAATTGTCATGATAAAGTGATAAAAGTAAAAGTGCTTCAATTTTTACTATTATATCATAGGCTTTTCAAAGCAATTGGCCAAGCGCACAAAGGCTAAGCCTTGAGATATTTTAATTTCTTGCAAATTTCATCTCCGACAAAATTGTTGCATTTGTTTGAAATTACTGCGGATTACTTGTTAGCTGTTAAAGATCTTTTGCCCTTTTATGTAAAATTTCTGTTAAAATTTAGAAATTATTGATAAACACACCATCTAAAATAATTGCTGTAGATGTATTTAATGGTGGCGATGGTGTTGATACCATTGAGAGTAGCGTTGAAGATGGTGGTAGAAATTGTGGAGATACTGTATTGACAGCGATTATTGTAGGAAGCGATTCAACGGTTGAAGAACTCTTAAATTGTACTAGCACGAGTGGCACAAATAATTGACCATGAAGTGTTAAAGTAAATAAGAAAAAATTTTGAAAATTTCTATTTACAAATTTGATGCAATTGTTAAGGACGGATACGTATCATAGATACACATTGGGAGACAGTGTAGTATCGAAACAACCAAAATATCTGGTTTCATTAAACAGGATAGTTTATAGAATGTGAGAACTATGTCAATAGCAATGACAAGTGCCTAAAATTGGAAAGAAAAATAGCTATGCCTAATGTATTACTTCCGGTATAACTTGTATTATATTTTTTCTCAATTTAAAAATTTAATTTAAATAGCTGTGATGATTTTTATTTGAGTAAAATGAGGAAAATGAAGACCTAAAAAAAATAAGTTGTTAATTTAAGAATTATAAAACAATAATTAGCATTTAAGTGATCAAAGCATTTGCTTGATTTGCATAAATTATCAAATTCTTGCAGACAAAAATTCAAAAATTTTTAAAACTTTTGTAAAAATTATTTTGTGTAAGAGTTGAAACAAGCAGTTATGCAAAGGAAAATTAGTTATCATACCTGAATATAAGGCTTAGGAGGATTTCCTTCTTCTACACCAATCCCTTGCAAAAAATAAGTTTCATTAATTCGTTGATAATTTTCATCGAAATTATCATCTTGAAAGAAACGAAATATTGCTTTCTTTTTCAACAACTGAAAATACTGAAGTGGAATTAAAATAATTACTAAAATTAAATGAGAAAAAAATGACAAAGGTAAAACTTTATTTCTAATTTACAAATTAAGAATTAATTATGAAAAAGTAAAAAGTAAAAAAATATGCTTGGTGTTTTCAAAAATTTAGAATTTGAATTATCAGTAAACAAAAATTTATATAAATGAATAAATACTTCATTTATGTTGACAGTTCTTGCAGCGTTGTAGAAATTACTTGTTAATTCATCCAAGTTTTCGTATCTGTAAAATTTCAAAAGTTAATTTTAAAAATAAAATCTTTTGCTGACAGCTTCAACAATATGTAAATATATGAAAAAAATAATTTAGATTTTTAAACAATTCCCTCAAACATTTCAGAATATTCGATTAAATGATTCATTTAATTGTTTTACATAAATTGAAATATGAAAAGTAACAATTGCTTTTTTAGTATTAACATTTTACTATTTTGAATTAAAAAATTTTCTCTTCGATTTCATTTTTGAACAAAATGGCATATTTGCATATTTAAATCAATCAGTGCCAATGTATTCTAATTGACAAAGACTTAATTCGTTCCATTGACAAAATTTAATTGGCGAAATGAATTTCTGCAATAGCGAAGGGAGGAGAA